ATAGTTAGCATATAGATACTAAATGCATCTTTACTTAGTATATAGATGTGATTTTCTGGAATTTTCTTTGGGATTCTGTCTTTCACTGTTAGAATGTACATATGATTAAAGTTATAGATGCTGTATTTCCACTGTATTTTCTATGGAGGGAACTCTAAAACGAGCCTTTTGGAACATAATTTCTTCTTCTACCTTTTTATTCCTGCTCCTCAGACCACAGATTTACTAAGATACTAAATGCATCTTTACTTAGTATATAGATACAAAAAGGGTCTATAGTTAGCATATAGATACAAAACAGGGTCTATAGTTAGCATATGGATATAAAACAGGGTCTATAGTTAGCATATAGATACAAAACAGGGTCTAAATTTAGTATATAGATACAAAAAAAGAATGGTCTATAGTTAGCATATAGATACTAAATGCATCTTTACTTAGTATATAGATGCAAAAAGGGTCTATAGTTAGCATATGGATACAAAACAGGGTCTATAGTTAGCATATAGATACAAAACAGGGTCTAAACTCAGTATATAGATACAAAAAAATGGTCTATAGTCAGCATATAGATACTAAATGCATCTTTACTTAGTATATAGATGTGATTTTCTGGAATTTTCTTTGGGATTCTGTCTTTCACTGTTAGAATGTACATATGAATAAAGTTATAGATACTGTATTTCCACTGTATTTCTATGGAGGAAACTCTAAAACGAGCCTTTTGGAACATAATTTCTTCTTCTACTGTCTTATTCCTGCACCTCAGACCACAGATTTGCTGACTCAGGCCATGACGGAGCTTTCCCAGACGCTGACCTCGGACTTCCGGACGGCTCAGGGAGACTTCCAGAGGATCCAGTACATCCCCGTGTCCCAGGCAGGAGGCAGCCTGCCCCCCCCGCAGCACATCCAGCTGCAGGTGGTCCAGGTGGCCCCGGTAAGCTGCGCCCACAACTCCCAGAAGCATTTCAGGGGCTTACGGGACTGTTGGTTTGGTTCTTTAGATCAGTGTTTTTCAATCTTTTTTGAGCCAAGGTACAGTTTTTCATTGAAAAAATCTCGAGGCACACCACCAACCAAAAATGTTAAACAAATCTGTATCCGCCTTCAGTAACACTATAGTTATTCTTATCTTACCTTAAGTGTCTTGAATAGGAATCAAATAAACACAAAAATGTATTTTTATCTTATTTTATATTTCTTCTTTCAAATTGCACTTAACATGTCCACTTCAATATATAAAATTATATACAAAATCTAGTCATAAGGAATTATTACATGATTACTCCACCAGTCACTAGAACAGCACAAACACTCAAAAATGGAATATTATTTGCAGAAAATGAATTCCTTATCAAAAAGATTTTTTAGACCAATGAGGTGAAATATGCTAAAGTGAGTAATTATAGCCCAGTTCTAAAAGGACCTAACTCACACGTTTCCAACCATATACAGAAGAAAGTCATTTTAAAAAGCTGTTTCTTTACTTACTTACTGTGTTGTGGCTGAAAACCATAAGTTGTTTAGGTTGAATCTGACTTTTCTGATAAGGGGAAGTACCATATTTTCTGCACTATAAGGCTCACAGCGTAGAAGCTCCAGTAGAGTCTGGGCTGCGTTAGCATCCACCGGAAGCAGCTATGCTAAAGACAACATCAACAAACACTCAGATAATCAGACTTTATTAACAAACACAAACCAGCTTTCTGACGACTCCGTTCACTTCCAGAATAAACAGCTTTTTATTATTGTTCCAGAGCTAATGTCCTCCATTCAGGAAATAACAGAACCAGTCTGATACGTTACAGTAAATCAAACGTTAGCATCACAATATATAGCAGCTAGCTTAAAGCTGACCAGCTTTTCATGTAAAAAAAAACCCAAAACCCCCTAAATATTTTAACTATCTGTTGTCCTAGTTAGGATCAGATTCAACGTTTACATTAAATGTACACATTTTTTACCAGCTGCCTTCTCTCACTGAGTCTACTTTTAAAATCGTAGCTTTTTCCAACTACTTCTTCTACTTCTACCTCTTCTACTTCTTATACTTCTACTTTTTGTACTTGTACTTTTTCTACTTCTACTTCTTGTAATTCTACTACTTCTTCTACTACTTCTACTTTTTGTACTTAAACTTCTTCTACTTATACTTTTTCAACTTATACTTCTTCTACTTATACTTTTTCTTCTCATACTTCTTCTACTTATACTTCTTCTACTTCTCCTTTTTCTTCATCTACCTCTTATACTACTTCTACTTATACTTTTTCTACTTATACTTCTTCTACTTATACTTTTTTTACTTCTACTTCTTCTACTTCTACTTCTTCTACTTCTCCTTTTTCTTCATCTACCTCTTATACTACTTCTACTTCTACTTTTTTTACTTATACTTCTTCTACTTATACTTTTTCTACTTATACTTCTTCTACTTATACTTCTTCTACTTATACTTCTTCTACTTATACTTCTTCTACTTCTACTTTTTCTACTTATACTTTTTCTACTTGTACTTCTTCTACTTATACTTTTTCTTCATCTACCTCTTATACTACTTATACTTTTTCTACTTCTTCTACTTCTCCTTTTACTTCATCTACCTCTTCTACTTATTCTACTTCTACTACTTCTACCTCTTCTACTACTTCTACTTCTTCTACTTCTTCTACTTCTTCTATTTCTTCTACTTCTACTTCTTTTACCTCTTCTACTACTTCTACTTCTTCTTCTTTGTCTGTTTTTGAGAAAATTGAAGGTTTTTAGACGCCCTATAGTGCGGAAATCCGGTACTTTTAAAGTCCTTTAATGTTTCTTATGTGTGCTTTCCAGGCTTCCTCCCCACATTCCCAGGCCCCGACGGTAGACGTGAGCCAGCTCCACGACCCTCACGGCTACAGCCAGCACTCCATCCAGGTGCAGCACATCCAGGTGTCCGAGTCCTCAGGCACCACACCGGGATCCACACAGGTAAAAAACCCACCCACAGACCTCAAACACCACACTCACTGACCAGGGATT